TTCTGTCTTCAGGGACAGGGTGGAACTGAGAGCAGGAAAATAAGGTTCTGAATACAGGAACTTTCAGGTAGGATCTGCTTAAGGTGAAATATATCTGGGGAAGTTTATTTTTCCTTTCTCTCAAGTTCCAGCTATTTCGTTTTCTTTCTTTTTTTTAACCTTATATGAATTCCTTAATCAAAGAAAGCTCTTTTTTTAACTTTCAAAATAGGGATATTCGTAGTACCTCAAGAGGAGCCTGGAGCCAGGTATGGTAGTGCGTGCCCGTATTCTCAGCTCTTTGGAGACTGAGGCAGGAGGATCACAAGTTTTGGGCCAGCCTGGACTACATTGACCATGTCTAAAAAAAGAGAGAGAGAGTTTGGAAAATTAAATGAGATATGGAGCCAGGTGTGGTGGAGCACACCTGTGATCCCAGCACTTGGGAGGCTGAGTCAGGAGGACTGCCATGAGTTCAAGGCCAGCCTGGGCTACATAGTTTGAGGCCAGCCTAAACTACAAAGCAAGACCCTGTCTCAAAAAAAAAAAAAAAAAAAAGAGTGAGGGAGAGAGAGAGAGAGAGATGGAGATTATATAGAGACCTTGGCCCAATGCACGGCAGAGAACAATAGCTCTATCAGTGTTTGTTACCATTTTTGTTATTTGATTAACTTATTAAGGGCACCTTCTTCCTGTTTGTGATGGAGTCAGGGAGAACTAGGTTCAGAGTGACATCAGAGATACCAAATTAGACTCCTACATAGGGGAAACAGGAATTAAAATTCTACCTGCAACCTCATGGGGTATACTTACTGCCTGTAGGGAGACGGTGTGGTTTGGGGGCCCAGGCATAGAGCAGTGGCTTCATGTTCCAATCATAGGGCAGTCACTTTTCTACCTCTGTGACCTTGGTATGTCATTTTGTCTCTCTTCTTGGTTTCTTCATCTAGAAATGAAATCATCGGGCTGGGGATGTAGCTCAATGGCACAGTGCCTGCCTTCCTGGCAAGCTTGAGGTCCTGAGTTTGATCCCTGGTACCAAAAAAAAAAAGAGAAAAAAGAAAAGAAATGAGATCAATAAAAACTACCTTGCAGGGCCGGGGATTTAGCTCAGTGGTTTTGAAACCTGCCTTGCAAGCACAAGGACCTGAGTTCGATCTCCGGTACCAAAAAAAAACCTACCTTGCTGAGTTATTAAAAGATTTATCCAGGCCGGGGATTTAGTTCAGTGGTTCTGCCACCTGCCTTGCAAGCACAAGGTCCCGAGTTCCATCCCCAGTACCAAAAAAAAAAAAGAATTATCCAAAGTTAAAGATAGCAGATACCTGGCTCTCGGTGGGTGCCAGATAAAGGGGAAGTTTCATTAGTATTATTGCTGTTATTAATAGAGTAATTGTCTGAATAAGGGTCTGTGTAAAGTATTTTGAAAGCTGCCTCTGAGCTGAGTGAGGAAGGTTATTAAAGGAAGGACCTGGGGCCAGGGATTTAGTTCGTTGGTTCTGCCGCCTGCCTTGCAGGTGCAAGGTCCTGAGTTCGATCCCTGGTACCAAAAAAAAAAAAATGGAATTAAAGGAAGGAGCTGAATGTCAAAGGATCATCCCTAGTTCTCTCTCTGTTGTCCACAAAGGACCTGCCACCCAGTTGCCTGGAGAGACAGTGTGGTGTCAGAAATTAAGTCAGAATAAACCATACATAGTGGTACAGGCCTGTAATCCCAGCACTCTGGGAAACGGAGGCAGGAGGATCACAAGTTTGAACCCAGCCTTGGCAATTTAGTGAGATCCTGACTCAAAATTTAAAAAAATTTTTCAAAGGTCTTAGGATGAGCTTAGCGCAAAGGTCCTAGGTTCAATCTCCACTGTTAAAAAAAAGAAAAAGAAAAAAGAAAAAATTAACTCAGAATTGGAGTGATTTGAAGGTTTTGGCCTTGGATTATTTCACAAGCAGGCTTTCTGCTCTTACTCTAAGATTGAGAAGAAACATCCCTTGTAGAGAAGCAGATGTGAATAAAACTCATAGCTTTGTCCCACTCTTTCGCTTTTCCCAGCTGTAGAGACATCTCTTCTGATTTGGATAGAGCAGCCCAGTTCCCACACTGCTTTGCACATAGCAGGATATCATTCATGCATGAATGAGTGAGGGAATGAATGAGGGAATGAATGAATGGGATTGACATCATCAGGACTTGAAAGTTTCCTGGTTGCTGTGGTTTAAATCAGGAGAGAGGCCATGATGATGATGGCTTGGGTCCTCACAGATTCCACAACACCTGGGCTCGTCCTAGGAGAAGGGCTGTGTGTATTCCTCATTCCTGCCCTGGCCAAGTCTTCTCTGCTGCTGTTGCTCTAGGGGTTGGGGAGGGGAAGAGAAGGTCAGTTTGTAGTTAGCATCAATCACAGGTGACAGTAGAGGCTTTAGTCAGTTGGGTAAGAGTCTTCCGTGATGTCTGCATCTTCTGGGAAGCAGCCAAGGTACTTGAGATCTCAGTCCAGAGCCCACTGAACAGTTGTCAAAATCTATTCTCATTATCTTCACAACAATCTGCTTAGGGTGGCACTGTCACCCCTCAATTTTGAGATGAGCAAACAGGCTCAAGAGAGAAGAGTGAGTTCTCCAAAGATCATAGTCAATAACGGCAGGACCTCCTGTCTCCAAATACACCTGCCTGTGCTGCACGGAGCTAGTTGGGTGGAAAGCTCCTTACGTGTGTTCTCTGTCAGAAGCATCTACAAAACACCTCTCATGCAACGACCCAGCTTTCCCCAAGTGTCTTAGCACCGGGCTGTCATCCAAATTCAAATGCTGGTGATAGAACTGATCAGGACTGAAGGCTAGCTCCATCCTAATCAGGAATAATCAGCAACGGGTTTATCCTTTTCATCCCTCTGATCCTATTATTCCATTCCATAATTCAAAGTGCGGCTTCCTGAGACCCAGGGACTTCGGCTCAGTGGATAAGGATTGTGAGTGGGTGCATATGTGACCTGCTTTATTCCTTAGGGAAGCCCCCACTCGTCAGCCCTGTTTTGTTTCCTGTTGCTGGCCAAGCCATCTGCCCGACATGACCACTGCCCAGCTCAAGTTAGTTTAAGGAAGCTCTGAAGCCCCAGATCTGAACTCCTGAATCCCTTTTTCCCCTTAAACCTCAAGCTAGTGTCAGCCCCCCTCACTCTAGCAGGAGGAGCTTTCTCCAAGTGCTTGGTTTTTCTATAAGGGCCCTGACTTTGCTGTCTCCAGTCTCCTCTTTCCAAGGACAGAGGCATATCCCAAGGTCGACAAGCTGGTGCTGTGACCTGATATGGCCTGCAGGGGGCAGGACTCACCAGGTCTGAATGAGTGGATGCTGGAAGAATGAATGCTGCACCTGGCCCTTTAGGACACTGACTACAGAGGGGAGGGGGGACACTTCCTAGGTGCCTGGCTCTGGGCCAAACCTTTTGCATGTATTATCCCATTGACTCTCATAAGAGCCCTAAGGGAGGCATTACTAGAATCCTCATTTTATAAATGAAGAGACTAAAGCTCAGAAAGACCACCGTGTCCTCAAGGTCACATGGTTACTGAACAGCAGGGCAAGATTTGAACCGGAGTGAGTGATTGCACTCCAAGCTCTGAACCTCTACCTCGGTGGTTCTCACCACTATGTGCAGGTTCAAATTCCCTGACAGGAGACTGAATAATGTCTGGTAGATCTATTAAACCCAGGTGATCCTAGTCTACAGCCAGCACTGAAAACCCTGCCTGGTCCTCTGCCACCTCTTCGTGTTTCCACTGGTTTACTTAGTGTGGCTCAGGTTTGTACCTGGAGCCTAACCCAGGCTTCCCGCTGGGCCCTGGTGAGCCTTGTCTCCTTTTTCTTTTCTCTTTTTTTCTTTCAGCTCAAACCCAGGGGTACTCTATCACTGAGCTACATCCCCAGGCCTTTTCTTTTCTTTTTTTTTTGGTACTGGGGATTGAACTCGGGTCCTTGGACTTGCCAGGCAGGCGGCAGAACCACTGAGCTAAGTCCCCAGCCCCCCAGCCCTTTTGACTTTTACAATTTTGACACAGGTTCTTGCCAGGTGGCCCAGGCTGGCCTCAAACACTCTCCTGCTGTAGCCTCCTGAGTAGCCAGGATTACAGGCCTATATCACCACACCTGGTTGCTTTTCTAGATTTTCCCTATAAGTCTCTCCTGATTCCACCACACTAAGTGAGATTCCCCTGTCTCATATTCTCAGAGTTCTTGTGTTTCCCTTCATAGCATTTACCTGAAATGTAATGAAGTAGCTGGGTTCATAGCTCCTTTACTATGTCTTCTCCACCTGAAAGCAGGGACCGTATTTATCACGGTTCCCACAACATTCCCAGAGCCAGGCACTGGGCCCGCTGCATAAACGCTGGGTAAATGATACCTCTCTCTTCCATTTGAGTAATTACTTATTGCGTGCCTATTATGTGCCACACTCTTCCCTGTGTGCACTTTATTAGCAAGATAGGGGAAGCCCCTTTTCCCACCGGAGAGAACTGAAGCTCAGGAATGGGAGGTGATCACCCGCAGACAGGACTCACCCCCCGCATCCTTCCCATTCATCAGAGTCTATTGAACTTGACCCAGCCCGGCCTGCTGAGTGCTTCCTTCATGCTGTTTCCACAAGAAGTCTTTGAAGAGGGCATTTGTGTTGGCGGCTTGCTCTTCCCGATCCTGCTCCCTGGCGTATTCACCCTCTGTCCAGCCCTTTAAGCATCCACACCCCACGAGGGGGTGGCCCTCCTTCTCCATCCCTTCCTCCGGAGGTTTGGCCCAAACAAGGCTGCCGAGTGAGTGCCCTGTTAAACCAACCCCTGGCCAGCAGTGGCAGCACTATGACCATCAAGAGCCACCCAGGAAGCTCCTCCCAGTCCCCTAGGAGTGAGCCTGTGCCATCCCCTGGGCAGTGCCCCAGCCATCTTCTCTAGTGGGATTTCCCACCAGCCACCCAAAGTGGACAAAAGCCCCTGGAATTGGAGACAGTCTGGATTGAAGCTCCGAACTGCAAGTTTAAGATTTGGTTGCATAGGGAGCTTGGGAGGCTCCTTTCTTCCCTGTTATCTCTGGTGCCCCCTGCTGGGCAAAAAATGAATGCAGGAAACAGGTGCTTCCTGTCTCTGGCTATCTGGCTCTAGCTGTAGGTCTCAAATAGGACATCTGAGGCTTGAGATGAATTCACATAAAAACCAGAACCTGGAGGGATGACGAAGAGCAATCACTTATAAACTGCAGCTGTGGGACCTTGAGGACCATTGGTAAAGGGCAGTCTTTCTGCTCTGCACCCCAGGAAAGCCGGTAGAAGATCCTCACTCCGTATTAGACAGAGCAGGAGGAGAAGGTCCAGAGACCTTGCCCACACCCTCTGTGCCAGCACAGCCTCCATCCTGCCTCCTCAGGGCCATCTCAGCTGTCAGCTCAGCTCTGCTGCCAGCCCCCAGCCTCTTCCCAATTCAGTGATGAGGCAAGTGTGAAAAGTGGAGTGTAATAGAGATGTCACAAGATCTCCCAGACCCTTAACTGCAGTTGCCTGCTCTCTATCCAGCTGGAATTGCCAGAGGCTGATGAGGACGCTTGCCTGTCCAGCTCACTGCTCTTCGAAGGAGGCATACATCTCCCTAGGGGCTTGTGTGTGCATGCATGTGTGCAGTGTGTGTGTGTGTGTGTGTGTGTGTGTGTGTGTGCGTGTGTGCGCACAGGGCTGCAAGCTGTGAGGCACCTGGACTTTGGGGATCCAAACTAGCCAGCTTCTCCTTCTGGATCTGCTGGCCTAATTCCCAGCTGCAGCTGCCACCCTGGGTTTTATCCCTGAGGCAATCTCCCTGCAGATTTGGCAGCCAGGAAAGGAGGGGCTGAGGAAGGGGAGAGAAGCAGAAAAAAGACTCGGTTCTAATCTGATGTACATGATCCGGCAGGCTTCTCTGCTCGGCTGCCCTCTGCCATCAGCTCTCCAGGCGATTTTCTCTGTGCATTGCACTCTCCCCTTCTGCCTTTGTCTCCTTAAGAAAGTGCCCAGAAAGTTAAACCCAGACACACAAACACACATACAATCTACTCCCACCAAAAAAAAAAAAAAAAAAATCAGAGAGCAAGAACAGGCAGACGAGTAAGAGAGCACGAACGCAAGGGAGAGGGCTCAGCTTGGTCCTGGAGGAACAGCAACACAGGCAGAGGGAGGCTGGAGTTGGCAGTTGACCCGGACTGAGGTCTCCTAGTCCCCAAGGAGCCTCCTTCGTGGACCAAGGGATCCCGAGAGAGGCTGCCTCAACTTAGGATGGGCAACTGTGTCAAGTCGCCACTGAGACATCTCTCCAGGAAGGTATGTTTCCAGAGCTCCCAAGCCCTGGGACTGAGGACTGGGACATGTTGTCACCTGTCCCAGAGACAGAGCATGGAGGGGGTGGGCACTGGAAGCTTGCTGTCCTTCCCAGGGGTTCTGACCAGAGATGCTTCCCTATTCTTCTGAAAACACTCCCATTCCAGTTTCTTATATCCTAAGCTCTGAGCTGATATTGGAAGTTAGAGCTGCCAGGGGGGTGGGAAGGGGCAGGGACAGGGAAGGCTGCCTATAGGAATTTCCATGGGAGTGAAATAAATCATGTAACTTTGGGGCTTCAGGACTGTAAAATGGAAAGTATGGATTCTTAGGGTGTCATTACACTGACACCCTCAAACCTGGCAGGATTAGAAGACCCTCCCCAGTCCCAGACCAGTTCCCACGACTCATCCACATCCTTTGAGGATCTGTGCCTCTCTCTGGCAGTCTCTAAGTCTTCAGAATTCAGAGTTTTGAGGTGGATCCTTTGGCTGTTGATAGGAACCAAGCAGAGAATCCTTTTTCTACCCCCAGTAATTCCTGAGTCAGGTCACAGAATCCCAAGGAAGCTCAGAACGACTGGTTTAGAGCCCAGGAAACAGGGTGCCTCAGAGCTATGTTGAGCAGGAGTGTACTTAAGTCACTTTCTGTGGTACGTACTCACCCCTAAGGCATCTTTCAAGCAGGTCTGGGCTCACATCTGGAGGGTTTTGCTTCAGGTGGGCTTTGCTTGTGTTTCTATGGCCATCATAGTCAGGCTGTAGAAGAGACTCATATTGTTAAGGGAAGAAGGAACTTGTTCCCGTTCTTCCATCTTCCAGACAAGGAACTTGCTTACTGCTCAGAGAGGTTAGGTAACACACTGAAGGTTACAGGTGGACGAATGACTCTTTTACCCAAGCACCATCCTACCTCCTCCATCAGTTTTATGGCCTCTCAATTTAGGACATTTTGGGCTTTTCTGCCTGTCAGCATCCTCTTCTGGCTAAGCTGCTCACATCACATTCCATTTACTCTTCACTGTTTCTTGAGTCCTTCTGAAGGCTGGTAGTTTCTTCTGTGTGTCCTCAACCCCCACCCCCATCTGTCATCATCTTAAAGGAGTCTTCTGCCTCAGAGGTGGCCTCCACGGTGTTTCAGAGAAGCAGAGACTGATCTGAATTAGTCTAGTGCACCACCGGTGAATGCCTCACAGTGGATTCACAGTGAGTTTAAGGAGGTGAACTTAAGAACAAGAATTGACCTCTGGCTCCTCATCCATCTTCAATGCCGAGTGCTTTAGGGTCACACCACTCAGGTCACCTTTTTCATGTGATCTTGAGCAAGTTACTTAACCTCTCTGTGCCCAGATCCTGTGTTCACCACTTGGGGATATGAATCAATCTTTCTCTCCTCCCCTTCTCCCCTCTCTCTTCCTTTCTCTCTCCCTTTTTCCTTGTCTTTCTCTCCCTCTCTCTGTGCTGGACCTTGTGTTTGATAAGCAAATGCTCTACTGTTGAGCTACACCCCCAGCCCTAATACCTATCTCTTTAGGTGATTGTTAAGACCTAAAAAAAAGTGTTGTGCAGAGTGCCTGGTACATAGTATTCAATAAATGCTAGAATTATTGTCAATTGCAATCATAATTTTTCTACTCTGAGCTTTAGGGAAGAGGGATGGAGAGGAAGAGGAAAATAGTAGAAGTTGTTGCTGTTGTTGTTATTATTATTATCTTAGTTTGGGGATTGAATCCAGGGCCTCACACGTGCTAAATACATGAGCTACACCCTCACGTTCTGTGTCCATAAAATAAGGTGAAAGATCATAAAACTTACTGCATTCAATGTCATGTTTCTTAGAACAGTAGCAATAATTGCTTTTTCCTATTTACAACATACCCAGCATCTGCTATCTCACTTGCTCTTTTCCACTAAGCAGTTCTCTTTGCTAATTTGCAGAGAAAGGAGCTGGACACAGAGATAGGAACCCTCCTAAGGTCACGTAGTCAACAGCAAACAGAGCTGGGATTTAGATCCTGGGCTACGTGAAATCAGAGATGGGATTTTATTTTTCTTTTTCCCTCCAGAAGAGGCTGCCCCTCTATCTCCTGCTTTCAGAAATATTGTCAGAGATTCCTGAATCTGACCTTCAAGCTCATGTTGTCCAAATTCCCAATTAGTGCAAGCACTCCCCTCTTCTACCTCCCCACACTTATATCCTTCCACTTCTCCTTGAACCCTCAGGGAGAGGGAGTTTGGACCTGTGTGCTTTGTCCAGCTTGTGTTGTTAGAGCACCATAAGGTCATGAGGGATGCTGGCCCTTCCTTTTGCCACACCATGCCTGGGACATGTTCCTTCAGAGCTGAGTGACATTGTCTGCCAGTAGCTTGGCTTCCTGAGTGGCAGCTGGGGAACTAGTAATGGTGAGACATGGCCTGCTCCAGACTCTGAATTGGGCAGCACTAGGCTGTCAGGTGCCATCACTGGCTAGAGAAGAGCTGCAGCTTCTGGGGCAACTTGGTGCCAGGCAGTGTTATGATCAAGAGATGCAGTGGAAATTCCCCAGCCAACACTGGCTCATTCTTCGTGGGAGCAGATTCCTCTCCATCCTTCTCATTTTCTTCCTGATTGACAGATGTTCCCCCCTCTTCCTCTGGTGCAGGAAGAAAATGCCTTTTGGCACCCAGCATCTCTTAAACTGCATCACTACCACCAGCACCATCATCGTCATTGTCATCATTATCATTGTCATCACTATGGCAACTCCATTTATTTGGCTCTTACCATGTTCTAGACACTATGCAAAGCACTTTATGAGCAGTAGCTCATTTCTTTCTCAAAAAAATCCTCCAGTAGATCTGACTATCAGAGAAAGAAACTGGAGCACAGAGAACTAAAGTGACCTGCCCAAGGTCACACAGCAAGCAAGTGGCAGAGATAGATCTTGTCCCTAAGACTGTGTCTAAAGCCAGCATATTAAACCACCTTTCAGAGTTCTGTGCCACCTGCTGCCTCCTCCTTCCTGGATTATGTTCATTCTGAGCCAAGTGCATGAGATTCAGCCAGAAACAAAAAGTCTGATTTTCTGCAAACATCTCTTAAGATTGTTCCCTGGAGCTAGGCCGTGTCCAGTCCCAGGCTTCCTTCAGTGCCTACTCACAGCTGGGAAGGTCTCTCTGGGTCAGTGCCTGGGGCCTGAAGTGTGAGTGTGGTGGAGGCTTTGAATTTTCCCTCTTTGGGGCATCAAGCTAGAATAAGTCCTTAGTCTATCTGGTAATCTCTTAAATTCTGTGATTTCCTAAAACTGACCCTTCTCATGCTCATTGAATTTGAGGCTTGGACTGAGTTACTTCTCCTTGGGTCCGAATCACTGTTCTCCTTTGAAGAACTGGAATACTTCTTGCTCCTCCCTCTCTAGGGCTGGAAAGGAGTCTCCCTCTGTTGCCCCCTGGCAAAAATACTTGGGAGAGAAGGACGAGAAGATGGTGGGAGCATCCTTTGGCAGGACAGGCTGCCCTTGGTCTTGAGATCTCATCCTAGGCATGGCCTTCAGTGACCAGCAAGCAGCTGGCTAGAAATGGAATTAATTGGATGGGAGGGTAGGGCCTGCAGCTCGGGGTTCTCAGACTAAGACAGCCCTCAGGAGTTTAGCTACTCTGTTCCTCCTTGGGAAGAGTGCTTCAGGTCCCTATAGTGAGGGGAGAACACCCAGTGCAGGGCTGAGGACAGAGAGCCATGACCTGAATTCTGGAGAGGCACTGAGCATGCTGGGGAGGCCAGGGTGGCACCTAATTTTGTGTCTAGGTGCTGCTGGGGTCCTAGGGGGAAGGTCTGTGGGCAGTGCTGACTTTTTATAGCTGCATGGGAACCTGAGGGGAGGAGGATGGATTGGCCGGGGCCTGGGAGCACAGCTATATTTAGTCAGCAGACAAGGCCCCTGGCTCAGCCTCTGGAGGTCCAGCAGGCTGGGCAGGGAGCCAGGGAAGGCAGGAGAGAGGGAAAGAACTGCTGGGAGCCTGTCTGATCTTGAGGTCACAAGCGGGGTGGAATCCAAGCACAGGCATGTCTTATTCACCCTGCCTGGTGCTTTAGGTCCGGAGAGGTGGCAACACTGGGCTGGAGCTAAGTGGTGCTGCCCATTTCATGGAGCACACAGTGTCCATTTTGTCCCCATCCCCACCTCTTTCAACCTCCCTGCTTCATTTGTGGCAGCAATAGCACCTAGGTTTGTAACCTATATTTCGGCAAACGAGCTCAGCATGTTCTCCATGTTGTCAGCTCTGATCGCTCTCCCAGCCTCCCAGGAGAATCCCACCAGGGGAGGGTCAGAGCCCATGAGGGAGCTGGGAGGCAGGATGTAGCCTCAGGGATGAGCTGGGACATTTGGAACATTTGAGGGAAAGGACATTATTCTATTATGCCCCCAGAGAACATGTCCCATTGGTTAGGACAGAGTTTCCCTCTGTCTGCTTCTCCATCTCAGCTTCTGCATGCACCTGAGTGTGTGATTCTGCGCTTATGTATGTGTCAGTGTGCATATGCGTGTGCATGTGTGTGTTCGTGTGTGTTTGTGACACAAGAGAGCATCACATCCAGCTCTCCTTGGGACAACTTTGAGTCAAGGATCAGTGTCTCCACCTGTGGGACCGCTGTGCTGCCTGGACCTGTGCTCCCTGAGGCTTTTGTAACCTGCAAGCATCTCCTCTTAAGGAGACCCCTACCAGGACCAAGAGCCAGGTGGGGCCAGGAGGGCCTATGTGGGCAAGCAGGTGATGGCCTGCTTCTCTTTTGCATTTGCTTGGTGCGGGCTGCAGATGCACCAAGAGGAGAAGAGCAGCTACATGGTGGTGCAGACCAGTGAGGAGGGGCTGGTGGCCAGTGGCAAGCTCCACGGACCGTTCCTGATGCTGGCTCAGAACTGCGCCATCATGCACAACCTACTCGGCCCTGCCTGTATCTTTCTGCGCAAGGGCTTCGCCGAGAACAGGCAGCCTGTACGTAAGTTGGCCCAGTGGAGCTCAATAAACTTGGCTTCACAGGGCAAGTCGAGGCACTGGGAGGAAGAGGGAGTTCTGTTCCCAGCACTTTGTTTTCCCCAGTGGATTCTCCTCAAAGCAGATCCCCAAAGTTTCCCCTTCTTGGCTGCAAAGTGAGTCCATGTTCACCAGCAAGAAATAATGCTAGCAGGTAAAATTCTGTAGAGCACTTATGATGTGCCAGGCACTGGGCTGAGTGTGTTGGTGGGACAGCCCCACTTAATCCTCAGCAACTCCAAGAGGTAGGTACTTTTGTTCTCCCTATTTTACAGATGAGGAAACCGAGGGACCAGCTAGTCGATGTAGTCGAGTAGTCAAATAGTGTGACCTAACAACATCCTGCTTGGAATAATTCTGGATATGCACCACTGTCCAGTAGAGTTTTCTACCGTGATAGAAAAAACCCTAAAATCCGTATTGTCCATTACAGTAACCACTAGCCACATACAGCTGTTGACCCCTTGAAATGTGACTAGTGCTACACAGGAACTGAGTTAATTTTCTTTCATTCTGAGTCAAATTTAAATAGCCACACGTGACTAATAGCTGCTATATTAGACAGTCTTCTGTGAAGAGTCACAGGGAAGAGGGAGAGGCTGATGTTACAGATACAGCTTTTTCAGGTTGCAGTTATTAAATGGCACATGCTAAACACTTTACATGTCTTGTCTTACAGACTGTGCATAAAGGCCTGTGGGGTCGGTACTAGTATCAGGCCATATTGCAGAGGATGCCACTGTGGTTCAGAGAACAGAAGTGACCTGCCCGCGATCACACAGCTGGGAAGGAGCAGATCTATTAGTTGTACTCAGATCTGTCTGACTCTAGGGGCCAAGCTCTTCTCCCCAGCTGCATAAATTGTGGGAAAGGAGTGTGCATGTACATCTTTCCACTGACCCTCTTGGGGCACACGGTTTCCCTGCCACATCGGCAGGCATCCCTAGCTGTCCTGAGCATAGCACACGCCCTACACTGTTCTGCAAGGACCAGTCACCAGGGCTCTGGCCACAGGCACACTGGGCAAGGTGCCTCACTTGCTGTTCCCTGGGCTCTGAGCATACAAGAGGTGTGGGAGGAACTGAAGCGAGAGTCAGCAGCACCCATCCTGCCAGCCCTGCAGAACTGTGCCGTGGAGAAGTTGTGGGCTTTGAGGAGCCTGATGGGTGGGAGAGAAGCTGGTCATAGCAGGTACCCTTTGCACAGGTGTGTGTGTGCACACACATGCACACATACGCCTGGCCCTCTTTCCATGAGTTCTGTGGATTCAACCAACTTTAGATTAAAAAAAATTTTTTTTTCATTACTGGAGATTGAAACCAGGGCCTCTGTAATGAGCTACATCCTCAGGCTCTCCCATTTTTGTTTTTATTTGTTTGTTTTAATTTTTTAAATATAAAGATGAAAGTTTATTTCCTCACAGTTCTGGAAGCTGAGAAAGAACTCCAGTATCAAGATGCTGGTGTTGGTGTCTGTGAGGCCTACTTTCTTGTTTGTTTTAATCTTTTTTTTTTTTTGGTACCGGGGATCAAACTCGGGACCTTGCGCTTGCAAGGCAGGTGCCAGAACCATTGAACTAAATCCCTGGCCTTGTTTGCTTTAATCTTGGGACAAGGTCTCTCTAAGTTGCCCGGGCTGGGCTCAAACTTGCAATGCTCCTGGCTCAGCGTCCCTAAGGGCTGAGATTATCAGCATGTGCCACCATGCCCGGCTTCAAAACTACTTTAAAAATATTGCATCTGTACAGAGCATCCACAGACTACTTTTTCTCATCACCATTCCCTAAGCAGTACAGTATAACAACTATTTAGATAGCATTTACGGTGCACTAGGAACTCCAAGTCATCTAGAGATGATTTAAAGTGTTTAGGAAGATGTGCATAGGCTATATGCAAATGACACACCATTTTATTTTATTTATTTATTTTTGTACCAGGAATTAAACTTGGGACCTTGAGCTTGTGAGGCAGGTGGTGGAACCACTGAGCTAAATCCCCGGCGACACACCATTTTATAAAAGGGATTTGAGCATCCTTAGATTTTAGGATCCACAGGGGGTCCTGGAACACAGCCCCCACCAATACTGAGTGACAACTGCCCTCACTTTCACTTTCTGCTAATACAGCACATTGAAAAAAACATCTTTTTGGGCAGCTGAGAAAGTCTAGGAACATACCTGCCTGTCTAGAACAGTAAACTCTTGTGTCAAACACTACAAGGAGCCTTTTAAGTGAAAGTCCCCTAGCAGCAACCACCTCCCAGAGACAAAGGTCCCTTCAGGCAACTCCTTCCCTCAGCTAGAAAGGTGCCCGGGGGACCTGGGAGCCAGCAGGCTGCCACCCCAGGCTCACACAGACTCTCAACAGCAGAGCTGCTTCCCTTCCACACGATCCTCAGACTTCCGGGGCCAGGGCCCTCTCATGGGGCCAGTGTGGAGTAAGTGGGCAGCCGCAGCCTGCACCCAGCCGAGCCCCACGGCTGGAACAGCCTGGCAAGTGCCTGTGTTCTGTATGCAGGTGCCCACACCTGTTGTGAGTCACCTGTGGCGACCACACCTGCCTCACGTCCTTCCTTCCCAAAGGTGGAGGGCTGGAACATGGGCACCCGTATCCCGTTCCAATCTGTCTCCTTCTGGCTAGGCCTGGGGCACCATCCGGAGCCTGCCCCATGCTTCCTCTGGGCCTGCTCTTTGGAGACTTCTCTACCATCTGTTCTGATGTCTGGACCCAGGGTTTCCTTGACTCTCCAAGGAGACCTGGGCCCTGCTGGAGGCTAGCAGTGTATGCTTTGGGACCTGGCAGCAGCCAGAGACACTGGCAGCCCCCAGGGTCCTATGCTGTGTCCTGAGACAGGACAAGGTATAGGGACAGGTCAAACGGGAAGATGGGATGGTGCCCAGGAGGCAGGGCACGGCCCCAGTTCTGCCTCCATGGCCCCTAGCTCCTCCTTCTTCCCTCTGAGGGCGCCTTGCATTCCCCACTTTCTCTCCCCCTGCCACTCCTCTTCTCCCATTGTCTTGCAGGCTTCCCCTTCCCTGCTCCTTCTGGTGTCACTGGGTGGGTGGTGTTCTCCTCTCTGCGGTGACCTCCCCTGACCCTGTTTTATTTACAGGTTTTGCCTCTGGACCCACTGTGTTCTAGGCCCATTCCTGTATGTGGAATAAGGGTCTGGGGGATGCAGAGATTCTTCGCCCAGGCTCCTGGATACCCTCTCGTCTGGGGCCAGATAGCTTCCATGCCTGTGGAACACTTGGGGCTGTAACTTTTCCCTTCAAGGACAAACTTCTGCTCTGTTCCCATCAGCTCCCACCAGTGACTGCTGCCCCTCGGATGCTGCCACTGGATGGGCATCCTATAATTCCCAAGTCCCTCACCACTGCTAATAGGATGTATTTCTTCTGTTTCAGGATAGATCACTGCGGCCAGAAGAGATCGAAGGTAAAACTGAGACCTCGGGAGAAAGGGCTGCTTAGCCCTCCAGGAGTGTTTGGGAGGGAGGTTGGTGGGAAGAAAGACAGAGACACCCTGGCCTCCTGGGATTAGGAGACAGATGGGGACCTGCTGTGGCAAGGCCCCTGGAGGAGTGAGCCTGGAGCAGTGGAAGACCCTTGAGTCCCGGAGGATGCAGAGTGCACCTCTCCCAGCAGCTGGGCCCTGGGCCGCCTTTGTCCCCAGAGACACTGTGGGTCCTACCACCAATCCCATCCACCTTTGTCCACTTCCTCAGAGCTCCGAGAGGCCTTCAGAGAATTCGACAAGGACAAGGATGGCTATATCAACTGCCGGGACCTGGGCAACTGCATGCGCACCATGGGCTACATGCCCACCGAGATGGAGCTCATTGAGCTGTCCCAGCAGATCAACATGAACTGTGAGTCCCTCCACGAGGCATCTCTTCCCTTCTGCTCACACAAGCCTGGGTTCCAGTTCTGCATCCATCTCTTTCCAGCTCTGTGATCTGGTGGAAACTACTTACCCTCTCTGAGCCTCCAATTTCAAACTTGTCTATGAGGGTTGCAATAAGGGAGAGGAGCACAGGAATTAGGGAATATATGTCAAAGAGCCCAATACTGTACCTGGCTGGCAACACAAAGGATCAGAGAGAGTAGGGCATGGTAGCACACACCTGTAATCCTAGCTACTCAAGAGCCTGAGGCAGGAGGATGACATGTTTTGAGTTCAGCTTGGACAGCTTAGTGAGACCCTGCCTCAAACTAAAAAAATTGAAATAGTCTGGAGATGTAGCTCAGTGGTAGCCCCTGGTTCAATCACCAGTGCCCCCCACAAAAAAGGCTCACCAGGAACCAGCCGAAAGCTTGCTTTAGGCTCCAGGTACAAACCCAATTCACACTGAATAAAAGAGGTGGAAACACGTAGGGGCGGCACTATGTCAGATGTGTCGAAACAACCAGAAGGACGCAATTGCTGTCGTATTTTTTCCTCTGTCTTAGTCTGCGTGCTCTTGATAGCGGTGCAAGTGCAAGGTGTTTGGAGGTGAAAGAAAGAATCATAGGGAGAGGGGAGTGAGGTGGGGAGGGAAGGAGTCCACACAGGGCGCACTGTCAAGCCAGCTGCCTCTCTGGATGGCTCCTCTGAGGAGCTCAGGGAATTGCTATGGGATGCTCACCTCCAAGTTCTCCCCCCGCCCACCTCTCCAGCTGGGATTCTCCCCCAACACCTGTCAATCACTGGGTGAAAGCTCCGTGAGCGGGTTGGCGGGTGCCAGCTCTCTGTTCCTTGGACCTCTGGAGAGAGCCACGTGGGAGTTGAGCTTGGCTCTGCACAGCAAGGGGAAGGCTGGGGCGGGTGAGCCAGGTACTCACAGCTTCTCTCTGCCTTCCCACGGTGCGGTGCGTGTCAGTGCCTTCCTCCCCTCCACTTCCTGACCTGTCCCCTTACTCAACCCCTGGCCACTCCCCTGAGCCAGTATTTGACGTGTCACCTATCTGTGGTCGCCTCTCCGTCCTCATTTGCCCTTTGCTTATACCCTGGACCTCAAGATAGGCAGATCAGGAAGGGGGTGGCAGTCCCTGCACCCGCCTGGGTGGAGATGGGGAATGGATGTGTTGAGGGTGACCTAGCCCTTCCTCTTCCTCCAGTGGGTGGCCATGTGGATTTTGATGACTTCGTGGAACTAATGGGGCCAAAACTCCTGGCAGAGACAGCAGATATGATTGGAGTAAAGGAACTGCGAGATGCCTTTCGAGAGGTGCGTGAGGGTCAGGGACCAGCAGGGGAGGGCAGACTGTTTGAGTTCCAGTCCCATGGTGCCTACTTGAAGAGAAGCCCAAGGCCTGGGCCCCAGACCAGGGGAAGGAACTTGGACAGAGAAGGGACTCGGGAAAGAGGGACACTGACGGCACGGAAGGATCTTCACTTTGGGATCTGTGGCTTCCAGTCTCCATGCTGTGGCTCTGTCCCCTCCATCCTGTCCTCTCTAGTTTGACACTAATGGCGATGGGGAAATAAGCACCAGTGAGTTGCGCGAGGCCATGAGGAAGCTCCTGGGCCATCAGGTGGGACACCGAGACATAGAGGAAATTATCCGAGATGTGGACCTCAATGGGGACGGACGAGTGGACTTTGAAGGTAGGTGGGGCTTGACAGTGGGAACGAAGCAGGCCTGTGGTGGTCATGGATGGAGCCCTCCACCTGTGTATCCCTCAGGCAATCACCAATCCAGCCGGACTCTCTACTGTCCTGCCTTTCCCTCCTCATCCCTCTTCATCCGCCCAGATGCCTGTTTATCCGATATTCACCATCTCTGAATAAGCACTCCAGTTCACTGCTATTCTCTACATTGTCTCCCAATTGATGATTGTAGCTGTGGTCCAACTCAACCTTGAAATTTCAGAGAACAAGGAGCTCTGTTTTTTTATCTCTGTATTTCCTGCATAACAAAGCACCTGACACATAGCTAATATTCAATGTCTTTAAAAAAAAGCATTAATAGTCATGATCATTATCATTTATTGCACACTTATATACAAGTCACTGTACTAAGTGAATGTATATATATTATCTCATTTAATTTCACAATGACTCTGGGATTGACTCTTATTGCCTCCTCTTACAAATGAGGGAACTGAGACTCAGAGAAATAATACAACTTGCTCAAGACTGGCTGTTAGGAGTCAGAGTTGGGCACAAACCCAGGTCTAGAATCTCATCCACTATGTAATCTTGTTCATGACACCATTCCAGATACTATGGGATACGGGACAAAAAAGTAAAATATTGACCCTGGATTCTGGAATTTGCATTCTGAGCAGAAAGACAAGATAAAATGGGCCAGAGTGTGAGTGTGTCCAGAACACAAAGTTGGGAGGTCTTTGGGGAAGTAATTGGCCTTCCAGGTGGAGAGTGTGCATGGATGGGGAGATGGCTTCACTACCGTCAGATCTGAAAAATCTCGGGTCACCCTGAGTCATGTAGTCTACCTGTATGCTGCAGGCAATGGCCTTTCTCTGAAAGCCTGGCATTGCCCATGGATTCTACCGAGATGTCTTTCTTGTGCACCAGCTATGTACTGATACTCGTTCCCTACCTTGAGGAGCCCAAGACCAGCAAGGAAAAGAGGAAAGGAGTGGAGTCCATGGTGCGTTGGGGGAAGTAGGGCAGGATGTGGAGTGTGGAGGGCCCCCTGTGCCAAGCTGGGAGAAGTAGGGAAGAGGAGGTTATAAATGAGTGGAGGGCTGGGGATTTAGCTCAGTGGTTCCACCACCTGCCTCGAAAGTGGAAGGTTCCAACTTCCATCGTTGGTACCAAAAAAAAGTGAGTGGAGCCCTGCAATATGGGTGGAAGCCACCAGGAGAAAAAGAAGGAGGGCCATTTACCTAAATGAGTTGAAAGCTTATGTCCACGTGGAAACTTGCACATAGATGTTTAGAGCGGCTTTCTTCGTAATTGGAAAAACTTGGAAGCAATCAAGGTGTCCCTCAGTAGGTGAATGGATAAATAAACTGTGGTGTATGGAAGACAGTGGAATATTATTCACCATTAAAAAGTATTGAGCAATCAAGCATGAAAAGACTCAGAGGAACCTCAAATACATGTGACTAAGTGAAAGAAGCCGATCTGAAAAGGCTACACCCTGTGTGATTCCAGCTCTGTGACATTCTGGGAAAGGCAAATCTATTGAAACAGGAAAAAGATCAGAGGTCACCAGGAGTTGAGACAAGGGGAGGGACAAATAGGCAGAGTACTGAGGATTCAAGCAGTGAGACTACTGAGTTTGATACCATATTAGCTGATACGCGTCATTGTATGTTTGTCTAAAACCATAGAATGTTCGACCCCGAGGGCAAACCCTAAAGTAAAGGTGGATGTGGGGTCATAGAGAGGGGTCAGTGTGGGTGCATCAATTCAACTGTACTACTCTGGGGTGGGACGTTGACGGTGGGGGAGGCTATGCATGTGTGGGGCCAGAAGGTATAAGGGAAATCAGTCTTGCTGGATCCAACTCAAAAAAACAAAGTGTAGGGGGGAACAAAAGAAGTGAAGACGCAAAGGATGCAGGAAAGCTGAGAGATGGCAGGGGTGGCAGAAAGCACAAGCCGTCTGAACTCTGCAGATGAGGTCTGCGTGGTCGCAGCATGGAGGGGGTGCACAGGAGCGATGTGGCTGGCAGTGTTAGTGGGGCCAGATCAGGCGAGGCCCTGAGGCCATGCGCGTCAGTGCGCTGACATCATGGAGGTTGCCACAGAGGTCACTGTACAGATCGGAAGCTGTGTGGAAGATAGATCAGAGAGGGCAGAGTGGGTGTAGGTGCCTAGTGCTGTCCCGGGCTGGACCCTGACTGCTGCTGTTTCCCCACCGCTCCTGTACCCTTGCAGAGTTTGTCCGGATGATGTCCCGCTGAGGCTCAAGGGCCCCACCAGGACTGCCAAGCGCCCCAGGTGGGGAGGGGAGAAGAGGAGCCAGAGCCGAAGCCGCCCCGAGCCCAGGATGTACTGGCGGATGGGGCCTGCCTGCACCGGGGAGGTGCCCACCCCGTACCCCCACCCCTCCGCACTGTGAAAGACACACAACTCCTGCAACTGGAAAAGGGGGCACCCACCGACAAGGAGGCCACAGTGCCAAGCCAGCAGAGGTCGTGCCAGGCGCCAAGTGCCACGTACCCAGCCACTGCTGGCTGGGTGGGCCAGGGAGCCTGCCAGCAGACCCCACACAGCATGTCTGCCCCAGGGCAAAGCCTGTTGCTGCCCTGCTTAGCTCTGTGCCCATCCCAGCTCGCCTCAGCCCTGTGATCTCAGAACCAATAAAAATAGTTCCAAGAGAATGACAGCCGGGGTGGTCTTGGCTTCTTGGGCCTGGTTGGACAATGAACCCATTTCCTGAGCACCACCTGTATGCCCAGAACTGGTTGAAGTTTCCTGCATTTATCTCACATTTATCGAGTAACTGTTATATACCAAGAAACTTCCGTACTCATTTCATAAGCCAAAACCTAGTACCTCTGCCTACGAGGGAGACTGAGGGATGTTATTTAGCTGAGCATGCACGTGCCCTCTTTACCAGTTTCTGTAAGAGGAGGGTGACTAGTGGATAAGTGTCTAGCAGGGTCTGCACCATATCCTGACTTCCGGGAGTGTTCGTGTTGGTCAGGGAAATAGACACAACATAAACATATAATCCATATGTGATTACAAATGGGGAGCCTGCTATAAAGGAAGAATGCTGGGACCTCCAGCAGATCTAATACCTGGGCTGCTTTAGGGAGGTTGGGGAAGGATTTCCTGAGGAAGTGATGACAAGTACTTTGCCCTGGAGGAAATCCCAGAGAGTGAGAGGAGACAGATGCTGAAACAGCTGCCATCTTCGACTGGGATGGAAAGTAGGCTATCCAGTGGCCAGACCCTGTTTGCTTGCTATGTGACTTTGGGCCAGCTGTGTCACCTCTCTGAACCTCAGTTTCCTCATGTGCCCTCCCAGCTCGCCTCAGCCCGGTGATCTCAGAACCAATAAAAATACGGGGATAATAAAGGACAGAGTCAGGAGAGAGTAAGCACACTTAGGGTATTGCATTGTGTCCTTCCGGGGGCTGCTGTTCGCAAATGCGGTGGAATTGTGCCATATGACAATATAGACTAGATCCATTATAATCACTGTAATTAATTCCTACCAGGGAAGGATTGAAGGAGGCAGGAGAAGTTTGGGAGCTGAGCAGGTTTGGGGAGTACTTGGGCAGGTAATTTGTGGTGGCCCGTGTAGTCCAGCCATGGGTACTCTACCTTAGCGTGTATAAGAATGGCCTGGAGGATTTCTTACACCACAGATCTGGGCCTCGCTCCAGTGATTGTGGTTCCATATCTACATCTCTATGAAGTTCCCAGAGGATGCCGATGCTGCCAGTCGGTGGACCACAGTGTGAAGAGGTCCGCTGTAGGTCCCAGGCATGTGGGAGGCAGGTGTGTGTCCAGGCAACTCGGACAGGCTGTGGGGCTAAAGGCTGGAGCCTCCCTCCCCCCTGTGCTGCAATAGAGGGAGGATGCTTGTCCTCAGACCTGGCAGGGGATATGGGATGGACTGTGGGCCCAGTCAGAGGCCCAGGTAATCCCCATGTCCCTGAGGCCCGTGAGGCTGAGTGCTCCAAATTCACTCTAATAATCCAATTCTGAGGCTAAGCCCTTGGCTCTGTGCCCTGCTAGGCAGGCCTGCAGCCCTGCCTGCCCCTGTACCAGTTTAGCTCTGCCCAGAGACTCCCGATCTATGCTGTTTCACAAGGTCAGCGCCATTGGTGGGAGGGGAGGGTAACCTGCAGGCATCTCTGTCAGCTGGCAGGGTTGGCCCCTGGGGGCACCAGGGGACAGGCCACTGTCAGGAGTAAGCTAGGACACCTCTGTCCCCAGCGTGTGGCCTCCCAAAAAAACAGACACAGCAGCTGAGGTTAGAGCTAGGCCACTCTTCAGAGGAACCTTAGTGTTCGGGACAGGGGGAGCCAGGGCTGGGGCTCTGCCTCCTCCAATGCATGGCCCTCAAATTCCTCCTCCCTTTCCCTTGTGTTGTAGTTTAGGGCTCCTAGTAAGATTGTCTGAAGAAAGAGTTCTGTGGCTTTTTTAAGAACTGAGATGCAGTTTCCTAGGTAGGAATTCTTCCTGTTCCCCTGTCCCCCTGCTTTAATACCTTCCCTGGTAGGGAGCCGCATGAGCATTAGAAGAACGCTTATTGCCAGAAAGAACTTAAACTGAGCCTGATTTTCTTCCTTGGGACTTGTAAAGTCTAAATTCATTCACTCATTCACACATGCGTTCAAATGATTTTTTTTTTTTTTTTTTGTGGTACTGGGGGTGGAACCTAGGGCCTCATGCATGTTAGGCCAGCACTTTAACAGAGCTGTATCCTCAGCCCCCACTGATCTTTATTGAGCCTCTTCTATGTCCCAGGTGTTGTGCCAGGGTCCCTGTCCTCAAGGAGCTCAGACTCTGGTAGGGGAAATAGATAAGAAAACAGACAAGCCAGGCGTGGTACCACATGCCTGTAATCTTAGCACTTGAGAGACCGAGGCAGGAGGATCACCATGAGTTTGAGGCCAGCCTGGGCTATATAGAGAGTTCCAGGACAGCCTGAACTGCCTAGCAAGACCCTATCTCAAAAACAAAAAGCAAAAAATAGACAAGGGTAATGTAATAACTAGGCTAGCCTTGGTGCCAGAAGGTACAAAAAAGGCTCCCTCTTCTAACCAGGCATAGTGGTAAACATCTGTAATCCCACAACTCTGGGAGACTAAGGCAGGAGGATCAAAAGTTTGAGCCCAGTGTGGGCAATTTTGCAATTTAGTGAGACCCTGTCTCAAAAAAAAAAAAAAAAAAAAAAAGCGTGCTGGGCTCAGTCCCCAGTTCCACACACACCCCAAAAAAGGTGCCCATTCCATTCTGTGGGGAAAGGGAGAGGGAAGGCAGAGAGCCAGGTTTGCTAAGCTGTGATGGATAAGCAATGCGCAGTCAGAAGAGGTGGGCAGGAAGAGTGTTTATGGCAGAGGGAACAGCATGTGCAAAGGCCCAGAGAAAAGGGACAGCCGAGCCTCCTTGGGAAACAAAACAGAAGTCCATTTGTCCCATGTACTGGCCTGGGGAGGGAGCAGAGAGAGGTGACACCCAACAAGAAGGCAGGGCCCAAGCTCACCACAGACTGCAGGATATGGAGGCTCAGGATATAGAAGGCTCAGGTGGAGCTACCTGCCTCCTTATTTCTGAGTCTGCGACAGCAGGAAGCCTGGGGCCTGCAATGGGCTCAGCTTTGGGGACAGATCTGTGCAGAGGGTGGAAGAAATCCAGGGCAGCTGGAGATAGCCAGGAAACATCTGGTCACAGTGCCCAAGAACACAGGCTCTAGCCAGGCATATAGCACACACCTGTAAACCCTGCTGCTCAGGAGGCTGAGGCAGGTGGATCTCAAATTTGAGACTTGCCTGAGCAGCTTACCAAGACCCTGTCTCAAAATAAAATAAAAAAGAGTGGAGGTGTACCTCAGTGGTAGAGAGCTTGCCTAGCATGCACAAAAAAAAGAGCACAGGCTCCTATTATAAAACAGAACAGTAGATATTAGGTGCCTGGATGGAAGGGCACAAATACCTCCTCCTGGGGCCTGGGGCTGGTGGAAGCATCTCATTTGAGTCTGATCATGCCTGGAGATGCTGCAGGCAATGTGTAGGAAATTCTAGGGCAGAGGAACACTTTCTCAGCAGCAAAATCTAGATTGGGAAACTATACAGGTCAAATGACTGGGATTCTTCAACAGATCAAGCATAAGAAACAAAAAGGGCTGGGAGGGGAATTACGAGCTCAGTGGTGGAGCACTTGCCTAGCATGTATGAGGCCCTGGGTTTCATCCCGAGTCTCTCTCTCTCTCTCTCTCTCTCTCTCTCTCTCTCTCTCTCTCTCTCAAATAAAAAGTAGAAGAGACTTAAAAGATAGCAAGTTAAAAGAAAATGAGCCCAACTGAATGACAGTGATGGTGTCCAGGAATGTGCACTTGGGTGGGGAGAAACCATAAACACGCAGGGATTTTTATTACAAAGGTCAGGACAGCAGTTGCTTTTGGGAAGAAGGGGGAGGGACAGCCATGGGGTCTCTGGGGGGCAGGGGTCTGGTCTACTTCTGGACCAGTAGGTGGTTAAAATGATGTTCAGCTTCTAATAATTCACTAGGTTGTCTATTTGTTCTGTGAAGTTTCCTGTTTGCCTTGTCTTATAATAAAAAGGCTTAACAGCTGTGTTTTCCACATTTTGAGTAAAAAAGAGAGTATAAAGAAAATTCTCATCAAATTTCTCTCAAAAGTAACTTCATGAGAAGTGGATGGCTGAAAGCATTATCCAAACTAAATGCTCACTGGCAATAAATTGTACATCAACAGTAAGGGGCAGAGGCATGGAACAGGATATGAGCTTTATATCTTTGCCTGTGTAGTTGTAACATCTTATATTGAGCATTCTGAAAACCTATCTTTACCAGAGGGAAAAAATCCCTCTTAAATGTTGACCTTCTGTAAGCAGAATAAGTGCAATAGTTGTAAATCTACTTGACACTATAATCAACTGTTAGTTTTTTGTTTTGTTTTTTTTTGCTACGGGGGATTGAACTCGGGTCCTTGCGCTTGCAAGGCAGGCAGAGGAACCACTGAGCTAAATCCCCGGCCCAACACTATAATCAACTGAACCAAACTTCTCAAAGTCCCTTTCGAAAACTACACTGAATTTTTGAGTGGGGATGGTATTCTTCTTAGCTTTATACTGTACTGTCCTGGGTGGATGCCTGGGTGGGTGGATGGATGGATGGATGATTTTCACATTTAGCAATACCCTCTTAGATTTACTCAATATTATTCCTCTTTAATTTGTTGACAAAAAATCTATATCAAAATAAAATTCATAGTTACCAAAAATGAAAAAAAATAAAAAGGCTTAAAAAAAACCCAGTATAGACTCAGGAGCCAGGTACATGGGTTCAAATCCTAGCTCTGCCACTTATGAGCTGTGTCACCTGGGTAAGTTATCAGCCTCTTTGTGTCTCAGGGTTGTCACCAGTAAGATAGGGATGATGTTACAGGGTTCTGAAAACCAAACAAGGTGGTACACTTAGGTATCCCATGGATTCAACCAACCACGGATCAAAACTATTAGAAAAAAGGAAGCCAGGTGTGGTGCTGCACACTTCTAATCCCAGCACTCAGGGAGGCTGAGGCAGGAGGATGACAGGTTTGAGCCCAACCTGGGCAGCTTTGGCACCCTGGCAAGACCCTGCCTCAAAATGAAAAATAAAAAAATGACTGGGGATATAGCTCAGTGC